CCCAATGTGAGGCATATAAACCTCAAATGTAAGGGCCTGAAGGCAAAACCCTGTTTTCAGCATTCCCTACTGTTTCCACTCAGGTGCTATGCACCTCATTCCGCACCTAAATCTGCCACCCATTGCCCTGAGAGCTAATCTTTCACTGGGAGCCAGACATCCAAGTCCCTTTGAAGGCTCTGATCGCAAGTGTGTGATAAAGTTTGGGGGTAAGTTTTCTGTTGCAGGGTGCATGAAAGTATAGTGGTTCTGTCATGATTGAGTTCTTGTTTTCAGAAGTGCTGTACATTATAAAATTAATAGAAAATTAGGAAAATCCTGAGATGGGAGCAGAGGTATTTTATAGAAATAAAGATTTAAATAACTGAATAATAACTTTTACAGTCCTGATTTTAAAGCTTCTCCCAAAGTAAACACATACAGTTTATTTTCTATAAAACCACAGCTTATTTTTTGTTTATGTTTTTTAAATTTGGCTTTGATAACAACTCCTCCATAGTGAGAATGTTGTAAGTGGTACTGTGGGTGGACTAATAAAAAATTGTAGCTGAATTTCTGGTGGACAGGAAGGAATTTTTTTTCCAAGACAATTACACAAATTATAGCTGGCAGCTTTGACTATCTAAAGAAACCAGCATCCTGACTCTTGGACTTCTCCTAATCTCCTCACTACTCTCAAGATATCTGAGTTTCCACAGCTCATATGGTTCTCACAGAATGAGCTCCTTTAGCAACAGGAAACATTTTCAATATTATCTGTTTCCTGTAGAGACAGATTGAAGTAATTTCTCATTTTTGGTAAGAACTTGAATGGGAATAGCTCTGTGTATACTAATTCAAAACAGCAAACAGCAAATAAAGAACCTGTGCCTAAATCCGAAACCAGTTAAACCTATAGAAATGAAAGCAAATGTATTGAAGTCAAAGGAATTAGAGTGTTAAGATCAGCCAGGAACCTCAATACAAGCTAGCCTCTACTCTGTGTCAGCTAAAGGAAAGTTAATCTTACTTTTACAGGTTGCTGAAAATCATGTCATGTCTCAGGGAAACATCTATTTCACCAATGAGAACAAATAAGGGGGAACAAGGCGGAATGTAACAGAGAGGGATCTGAAAAATCTAGAAGGAAAAAGCAGGACATGGTGTGTACCACTGTCTCAGGTGGATGGGAATGACCAGTCCCAGGAGCAATGTTTTCATCAGACATGAGTCAAGCTGCTCATGTGGAAGAACTGTTCCCTGAGATGGGAGAACTTGCTGAGGTAAAGGTTTCTAGCACCTGAAAACAGTGCCCATGTGGCATATCTTCCAAATACCTCATGTAATCAATTAAAATACTAGGGCTAAGTAAGAGATCCAGATTTTAACATTATACTACACTGGCATATGTCCCAGTGCCATCATGTCATGACAGTTCATGAATAGTGTTCCCAGACACTACATCTTTCTCATTGTGCAACCAGGTGGCTAAATTTGTGAATGTAGCCATGTTTTTAAATTATTTGCAATGAGAATGTTGCCCGAATAAGGACAAAAAATGAAATAAAGGCTTACAATTAGGCCCAGCAAGAACAAAACAAATAGACTTTTAAGTTCCAAGTATTTTCACAGGGAGAACTTTATCACTCCCATTGCCCCAATCCAAATGCAAATTAAGAACCTCATCTGTTTAAATTAACCAGAGAAATAGATACACAGAAGGAAATGTTACTCCCACTAAAGTCAATGTTGTGAGATCTAGGCTATGGTGCATATCTGATGGCACAGCAAGGTCCAAAGTATTATGTTAACAGTACAGCAGCTTTAAAATGTTTGCATTAAGTGTTAGCAAAACCTCAGTCTTGAAATCAGTGCTGCAGGCTTTTTGAGGAAGCACTAAATGGAGTAAGGAGGTTGCTAAAACCTTTTTTCTCCCTCTGCTGCTCCCCCCCAAAATAGAAGCAAACATAAAAAGCAAAGAAATATACTTTTCATTCCAGGCATGGTTTTCCTTTCTTAGAACAAACCAGTCCCTCTATTTCAGCTGTTGTATGCATTGCAGCAACCATACGTAGGGCATCAGTTTTTCAGATGGACGTCACCTGAGATACTACAGTGAAGAATAAAGAGCAGATTTTCCAAGGTAGAGACACATTCCTTTTAATAAAAAAATATAGAAATTCTATTTTTTACATTGTGTTTTTTAATATTGTCAATTAGAAAGCCTCTTAATGCCTGGAATGAACTTTGTATAAGATCTATTGACGGAAACTTGAGTTTCCAGTTTTGGCATTAATGTAATAAAATTAAAAGTTTAAAAATTAAAAGCTGTAATGCAAGATGAAGGATCATATTCTACTTCTTTGCCTGCAGTAAGAAATCTCTCTTAGATGCTCTCCAAAACGTCACAAAATTTTCCAGTTGAGGCCTTCATATAGGAGAACAGAATATCCTTAATGACTTAAAATAACACTACCTTGTTATACCCCAAGTGAGATTTCTCCTGTGTGTGTTATTTTTTTGTGATTTATTATGATCTCCAAATCTCGTTTTACTTTGCTTAATCACTTATATCCTAAATCACACCTAATGTTCTCCCCTTAATATATAGCCTACATAGTTCTGATAGATACTGAACTGTATGAGCTTTGCAGGAGTCATTACAGTGTAATTTTTATTATACATTTATAACGTCTAAATATTTTAGAGACTATCCATGAAGCTGGTAGAACAGATTTCCAGACAAAAATGCAAAACCACACTTTTGGAAAAAGCCTAAAGCTCTTTTGCCAGGTAGGAGGCTAAAGTGTAAGAGTACACGCCACTAAGAAGTGCCTTAGCCCATCCAATGGTGAGGTGCCTGCAGCTGTCCAGGGAAGGTCACCGTGTCTCACATTGAGACCTAGTGGTGGTGAGAGGCTGTCAAGGAGTAGTTCCTGCCTAGGAAGCCTGCTAGAAGATGACCACTGTGTGATAACCCAAATGCAATACTCTTCACTGAGATGCAAATGGGACTTCTGTGAAATAGCTCTGTTCTGGATAAACTGGGTTTTGTTCTAATGAGGTTGCTGTGACATTTGCTTATTACAACCATTGCCCAAGAGAGGACAAAACCAAGGGGTCAAAGTTACTACTTTCATAGCAACAATTGCCAAGACCCCCTGGGGATATGAGGAGAATTTCCTGAATGCAGCCTTGGCTCAGGGAAAATGGAGAGGGACAGGATGCACAGGGAGCACGGCCAGCCACCCCACCTGGGGAGCCAGGATGCAGCCCATCCTCATCATTGGGACTGCAATGAATGTTTTGAAATCAGCTATCATTTGTGGCCTACATAAGCTAACAATATGTCTTCATAGCTACTTCCTGCCAGAGAGACTCTTTTTATTTTTATTATTACTATCTGGATTTGTTTTTCTGTTAGCAATATTTGACCAATTTGTGCACAGTGGGCTTTCTTTGTATATTCTCCCCTGCGGTCTTTGAGATGTTTGCACTCTATGAGGAGTTCAGCAGCAGGTCACAGACCTGGTTTACAAAGGGAATGAGAAATAAACAACAAACTAGGAGAATAAAAAGACTCCACAAAGCTTTCGGTAACTTATGGACAAACTGGAGACAAGTGTTTATTGGACTTTCTTTCTTGTTTTCCTCTTCCTGACCCAGCATCCTCACCTCATGTGAGGTCAGGCACCTTTGACATATTTGTCATTTTGGGGTTAAGAGCGAAGAAAGAAATTAAGAGAGATAAGAATAAGGAGTACTGCTGTTTGAATGCATGTCACTGGACCTTTGGTCACAGGTATTTGCATCATTCTCCCCACCAAATATTTTTTCTGTTAGGAAACTCTCACCACTAGATACCCTTTGTTTATGAAAGAGGCACATGTGCATTCTTTTCCTCTCATGGATAACATATTCTAGATTATTCATACTTTTTAAAATTCTGTCTTTAGTATCTAACAGCATAAAGAAAACTAGCAAGGCTTCCTCCTGCAAGTTAATTTTACTGCTGGCCTTGTTTCCTCTCCTGCTTCAGTGAACACATAATAGAGCTAGGTTAAAGGTAGATACAAGTAGAATTAAAAAGATAGAACACAAGGAACCAGAAAGAAAAGGGAGAAAAAGGGATTCTCGATATTGATACGATATATGAGACAGACAGCAAAAGAAATGCACCTCTATAGTAAAGCCAGAATGACCCATATGGGAAGATGTGGAGTATTAGCTGTTGCACTAGTGGGTAACACACCTTCAACAGTATACAAGTACCTGGCGATGCCAGACTCCTATACAAGGTATATTGTCTCCCCATCACACATGGGTACAACCTTTAGAAATAATAGTAAACCTTAAACAAAAAAAGGAAAATGATCAGTCTAGTGCACTCAATGAAATCAGAATGAAGGCTGAGGTGGAAACTAAACATTGGACCAAAACTGAGAATTCCAAAACCATCTCTTCACTAATAAACGCCTCATCTGCTGTGCAAAAGAGCAAAGCCTGAACAGCAGCTAGACAGTATTTTCCGATATGAGATTTTAACTTGAAGGCATTTCAGGACCTATCTGTTTCAGTGTATAGTAAGGAATAATCAGCACACTCAAAGGAATGTCTCCATTGAAGAATTTACCTAATTTGCAACAACAGGATAAACTTTTGCATCTACTCTTCTATATAGTCTGTCTAGCCCTTTCCTATCCAGATCCTCAACTCCCCAAACATTGAATCACTTGAAAAAAAATCTCATTGTTTTTTCTACTTTTCCCATTTTCTTTTCATTTTAATTCTCTCTTTCAGATTGACCTGAAACTCAGAACGCCAGTCTCTTCCTTTTATCTACAAACAGCACTAAATAGTCTTATAAGATTTTAAAAAAAGGTGACTTACTCATGTCTTTTTATGTATTCACATACATAAAATGCATATATACACACACATGTATATATGTGTATATATATGTATATATGTGTATATGTATATGTGTGTATATATATATGTATACAGTGGAAAGAACTCACCTATGTCCCAGGTAAGGGGGTTATTCTGTTCCATCTCCCTTTTCCCTATGACATACCAAATGCAGGCCATCCAGTGAGCAAGCAAGGCAAACATGGACATGAGAAGCGTGAGAACAATTGTGCTGTGCTGGGAGTAACGATCCAACTTCTGAAGGAGACGCAAGAGGCGTAGCAATCGCACTGTCTTTAGGAGGTGGACAAGGGAAACCTAGGAGAACAGAGAGAGAAAACAACTTGTCAGCAGTTGACTTATATCACACAGTTCTTTTGTTTCAATGAAAGGAAACTCTTATCTTCTAAAGCTCTATGAATTTTTGCTCAATCTTCATTCAGTTACGTAGCTGCACTGTATGCTTAGACTAAATCTTATGGCAGAAGAGAATAACAAAGATGGTCAAAAAAAAGTGTTTCTTTTTTCTGTGTACCATACATATTTACTATTTCTGATTTAAACCAAACAAACTTGAAATACTGGGAGATCTTTTGTTTTGTCTTTTTTTTAATGCAAAGTCTTCTTTCATATTTAACTTAAAAAAATGTACAAAAATAGATCCTTCCCTGCTCTAGAAGAGAAATATAATTGTTGAACTGACCAATGTTCATTTGATTCCAATATGAAACCACAAAATAAACATCTTCAAGCACACGATGATTTTTCGGTTTCTGCTAACAGCCAAACAGCAAGCCTAACAACTATGCATGAGATGAAACCAATTTAATAATTAAGCCTGGAAGAGGCAATAACCTATCACAGATATTTTGCAGAAAAAAAAAGGCAGAGAAGTGTACAGAGACTTAGATTTGTTCTTCAGATTTAAACCTGTGTTCAGGGGCCTGGGCACATTTTACTGCTCTGTACTAAGTTTGAATCCAAAAAAATTGTATTAAAACTTCTAATACTAGTTCTTAAATTCCTTACCTAAATAATTACAGCCTTGCAAGTGTATGTGGCAAAACCAGCACCTAATCTGCTCAGCACCCTAAGTGTACATCAGTTTATGAAGTATATGGGTTCTGGCCTCAGGGGAGATGCAGCAATGCACAAAGCGAGTGGTCTCTGGATGACCCCATTCCCTCCAGAGCATCCTACAACCTACACCCACACAAGAGTGTGCACAGCTCCCAGTTTTGTGTGGAATATACTTGGCTCATGTTTCAGCTGTTGGGTAGAGTTAACAAACAATATGCACATTAGGATCCCAAATACTTTTAATTTAATTTTTGAAGATTAATTAATTTTCATTAACAATAAGAATTTTTCCCTTTCATTAATAAGACGTTACGATTAATGCCTACTAGTTACCTGGCTGATACAGGGTACATGCATCAGCTAGGAAAATAACACCAAACTTGACATGTCTTCCCACAGCATTCCCAGAATGCAGTAATGACCTCTCTGAATATAATAGAGTTTAAAAGCACAGCGCAAATAACATCCTTTTGCTTTTGCTAATCTAGAATAATGTGAAGCTAAGCTTTTCTATTTCTGTTACCAAAACCAATAATCTGAAATCTTAATTTTATAGGTGTGCATTCAGTAACAGCTAGGTCCAAATTCACTGATAGATTCTGTAATGTGGGGTATTTTAGATTTGTTCATGAAGACTTAACAATTCATTGATTTTATTCCAGTCTCAGGAATTAAGTAGGTAGGAAACCTGTAAAAAAGAAAAGAAACATTCCCTTTTTTTGCTACTACAGTTCTGATAGTGCATAAGTAATTCTTCCACGAGCTTCTTCATGGAGTATTTACTACCCATTATTTCATTTTTTTTTTCTCAAGTACCTTTACATTTTTTCTCATGTACATAGCAGGGGAAAAAAGAAAATCAGCAAAAACATGACACTTATTTAAAATACTTTGAAGTTCACTGCTGTCAGGAATAAGATTTGACATTAGAGCACACAAACAATTCCAAGGTCTTCTCTTCTTGCCTGTCTTTTATCCATCCTATGTCATCTACAATAAGTCAATGAAATTAGTTATGTCTGTGGCCTTAAGCACAAGAACATCTGCAAGTTTGGGGCAGAAGGCTGTGAAATAGTTGAAGGAATTGCGATGTTTCTATTAATACAAACGTAACTATTAAAATTCAATTATTCGAACTATACCAACTGCCTCTTTTCCTGTGGTAATTAATTTCCCTTTTCTTCTATCTCATCACCTTGTTTGTACCAAACACAGTTCTATTGCACTACTAACATAAAGGGGTCCCTATTCATGAATGACTTTTCAAGGTGTTGTAGTAATATATAAACATACGTGCAGTTATTGTATATATAATGATCGTACATGTGTTATGGCCTTCACACTGGAACCTTTATCTTTACATGGATGTCTATGTTCTACCGCATCACAACCAAATAACGATAACTCAGGTGAAATTTTCTTTTATTAGATTCTTATAACTAAGAAATTTCAAAAACGGTGTTACAACAAGTGTGCCCTGCCAGTTATCACTTGTAACTGAATTCTGACCATTTTTATTAAGTTGCAGAACACTGACAGATATAAAACCACTGAATCAGATATCATAATATTCTTTTTAACATGGAGACTTTTTTCATTTTCAGGCCTAAAGCCTGCCTCATTTTAGAATAATTTCTGCATAAATTTGAACACAGATGTAATTAATCATATGTAATTGCACCGAATTTTCTCATTAGTCACACCAAACACTCTTCTTGTATTGTGTCCAATCTGTCATTGTAGGACCTGAAATGCCATCAGGCAGCTTTCCTTTCTATGTCACAAATTTAGAAAGACAAAATGAGGAGTCAGCACTCCTAGTTATGCCTGCGTATATTTTGCTTTGCCCACAGATATAAAGCCGTCTAAATTTTCCATTTGGTTAATCATTTTAGACTAGTTGGGTTAACCTTTTTCTGTCAAAATGACAGAGACAAAATTTTATCTAAACTAATATAAACTCAATCATAGCATAGTGCAGAGAAGTACTGAGAAACCAAGATGCTACAAACTAGTCATTAAATTCTCTGCTTGGAAGAATCACCTCCTATGGCAAAAAGGAATTAATAAGGAAACACGAAGTATTTTAAAAAATGAGTAGTGGCAAGGATCTTTAAACATTTTTGTCTGCTTGGTTAGTTGTTTTTCCTCAAAAAATGTTACTCTTGCTCTATAACCACCAAATTTAGTCATTATAACTAGTGCTTAATGGCCTGTTTTTTACTTTGGCATCATTTCACACCACATTTCCACAGATGAAGGGATCCTTTATATCAGTTGAATACAAGAATAGAAAGAGCTGGGGTCTCAGCAGGCATTGAGGCTAGTCAGGAAAGTGCCTGAGGTCTCAGACCTCCAAAGATTCACGCACCTAGTGGTGGGGCAGAATCCCTGCATGGTGTAAAGGCAATAGAGCCAACTCATACAGTTTCACTTTTTTCTTTTGAAAAGGATGGTGAGAGACTCCACAGCTTTTTCACACACTCTAACTCCACAAATCTCCAACTGGAGGATGACATTTATGTGCCATAACATACACAGGTATGTATGGCACTATACCTATAGCTTGCAGAATTTAGAGCATCCCTAAAGGTTTGGCCTTTGTACCGGGGCCTGAACAGCAAAGAAGTGAGATGCTCCCTGATGCCCCTTCTCACCGTTCTGTTGAGGCAACATCTGAGAGTCGATGAAGTGAAAATCTGAGAATAGACATGAGGAAATGGCTTATTAAATCAAAACAACTGAGAACAGTGGCATGTGATTAACATCTCCCCCCATTTTTGAAACAGTACACAGTCATTGTTATCCTAAGGATTATATTAACTGTTGCCAAATCTCGCCACTATAGGAAATATGATATAGTAAGGCACTGTGTTCCCATTCAGGAATCATGAAGAGAACAAAACGACTGAGTTTGTCAGGGTGAAAGCAAGGTGCAGATTCCCAGATTCTGGATTTGCTCTCAGTTACCAGAGGGAAGAGAGAGTTTGCCTTTGACTCTCTACTATGTAGTGGTCATTACAATATAGCGATTAGAGAGCAAAGTTGGGCCACAGCAATTGAAGGAAGCAGATTGGACCTTGCAAGAACTTTTAACAAGGTGTCTTGGAGCATTCAGCGAGCTATGCCTGTCAGCCAATGTTAATTTTGAGATCAACACGGTTATATATCCTTTATTACTTGAGGCTTAGTGTTAGGACTTACTCTATCACTAACTGTCTCACTAAGGATCCACTACTAGCAGAGGGACACTTCAGTGTACCTGGGTATTCTTAGTCACCATATTAGTGATCTTATTAAGGAAAAAATTTTAGAAGTACAACAGACACGAGATGTGTATTTATCATATTATAGTAGTATTTTAGTATTGTGACATTTTAACTGTAAATATAATTATTGGATAATACTTCTTTCCAGAATTCAGTAAAGAAAGCATATCGGTCTTCCCAATTAAAAAAAAAAAAAATAAAAAGAGAATTTTTATATTTTTTTAATTTTCTCCTTGAAGGAAAATATCAGACCTGGTTTATTCAATTAAAATCTCTTAATGGAAATTAAACCAACACAGTTATGCTCCCTTACATTGGTTTTAATGTAAAGGATAAACCAAGATAGTAGTGTATTTAAAGAGATTACCCATTGGTTATGAAAAAACAGTGATTGAAGAATGTGGTTAACCATCTGGTTTTAAAAGCTACTGCACTAGCATCACATTGATAGTTCTTAATGTAACAAGTGAAAACAAAGGTCATTGAAGGAAATGGAACTAAATGATAAAATCAAACATGATACCTTACATGGGAGGCTTCCTGACTAGTGTTTTTCTATGTTTTTTTCTGATATGTGTTTATCCAATCATCTATGTACTTGTGTGTAACTCACATTTAATGAAAATGAGATTGAGTGCATCTGTTTACATAAGATCAAACTTCTGAGAATTAGAAAGTGGACAGCTTAAAAACTTAAATCTCTTATGGGAAAAATCCACAAAATTGAGAAACCTCTGCCAACATTTTTTTTCCAAAATTAAACTTTCTGATTTGGAGGTGGAGGGGTTGTTTGGGGTTTTTTGACCTCTGTGTGTGTGTTTGTTTGTTTGTTGTACTTTTGCTTAGTAGATTCTTACTGTACTAAATCTAGCAGAGCTATCAAAAGAAAAATCTTTGTCTTAGCGTAAGTAAACCGATACAAATCTAACCCATCGTGACTGTGACATCACCAGATGTTAGATCCACACATTTTTAAAAGCAGCTTAAGCATTTTGTCATTACATTCCTAAAAAAGATGAGTTGAAACTGAAGCCAAAGTTAATGACAATCGTAAAGTAATAGATATTAGAACAATTAGTGACCATGCCGTAATTTTTGTACCAGAAAGCCCAGAGGTAACGAGAAAGAAGATTCCTGGCTGAGTAAAGAATGTTGACCATATCAACCATAACAATGATTTACTTTACCACAGTAACAACTTTTGAGTCTTGAAAAATTAAGGATTGGATTTATGCAGCATAAGAGAGCAAAAGCAATAGGGAATTGTATTTGAGTACAGTAAGTAAAAATGAAGCTAACAAACACAGGTGAAACGTAAGGATGACTAGATTAAAAAAATGGTACATATGTGTCTTTCATGATTATGAACGGACAGTTTGACACTCAATCTTGTAACTCTTTTAATCAACATGTACAATTACATTGTATTCCTTTCTTCAGCATCCAATGTGAAAATACACTACAAAGCTGAAAAAGACACCAAGGGATTTTAATCGATTCAGTTTTAGTCTCCAGATCTGGAAAAAAAAAACCAAACCCAACAAACAGAACAATAAAGAACATAAAAAAGACGTGTTAGTACTCACCACAGTGACGTTGAAAGCATAAAGAAGATCAAAAGGAAGTGCAGCAATTAAATCAATGATAAACCAGGTAGTCACGTAGTGGATACAAATAGATCTTGCTTCAAATATAACTTGGCCAGACTTGCTGACATATGTTGTTCGGAAATTTAAAATAATATCTGCTTGACAAAGAATAAACAGAATCAGAGACAGTGATTTATTGATTCCTGGGGATAACACCAGGAATCCACAATGATACTGATTCTTTTTCTTATGCATGGCAAAAAACAGATGAAGAATCTAATAACGAAACAAATAAAGTGGTAAGAGATCCACACACACAGAGTTAAACTAATTAATGAACAAAGTTGTTTACAAGTAAAAAGAATCTTTAAAACTTTTAAAACTCACTGAGTTCAAAGGGATCTTGAATTAAAAAAATCCCACTCACATTGCTCTTTAAATAGTACCAAATATTGACATTTTCCCTAATTTAAAATGAGGGTATGATTGCTGTACATAAAACTAATTTACATTTCTTTTGAGATAAAAAATCATTAATTACTTAATTTAAAAGGTGTAAGTGAAGATTTCTTTTAGTGATGTGTCCAGCACAGAGAACAAATGTCATCCTCAAAGATAACCATTTGTTTATCAACGGAAAAGAGCTGAACTCACTTGAAAAAAAAAAGGCTTTTGGGCTCTGGTGGAGATCACAAAAGGGACATGAATTGCTTGGTGGCTCGCACATTTTGTATGTTCCTATCTACTATTCCAGGATAAGTGTCTTTCAATATGAGATATACTTTTGACATGCCTTGCCAAAACACATTTACACTCAAAGAAAACCTCAGGTATTGACAACAGAGCCTCAATTATTTTCATGTCCTACAAGACAAAGACTATAATCTGTCCTCAAGCTATGCACCCAGTTTCTACTAACATTAGTGAGAACTACTTGTGTAACTTTTATGATGTCAGAAAAGAGTACAGCCAACCATCAAGGCTGGTATTTTACAGGAAGATAATTAGCCCGCTGCCCTGCAAATTGTAATGCCTCATGTTGGAGACCATCTCATAAAAAGGAAAGAAGTGATCCCAAGAGTTAGGAAGACATTCAGAGTGTGATTGACTTTTTTCTCATTAAAAAATAACAACTGCAGGGTAATGGTCTTGGCAGCCTGAAAGCCAGTGGACTTTAATATCCAAGTTATGAGAGGCAGCTTTCTAGATGCTAGTCCAGTGTTTAATAGACTTGTCAACTGTGTTATTTGTATCTAGGTAGCCTATTATAGTTACAAGGAGGGAACTGCATTGCACATGCTCTCTGCCTCTGGCTGTGGCAGCAACAGCAGCACTGACTCCTTTCTGTCCGCTCGATGTGGCACAAGAAGATTCACCTTCAGCTGCCTCTTCTCACACTGCTCTTGTAGGGAGGTGCCAGCAGCAGCTGCTGGGGGCTGGCTCTGCACCATGTAAAGCATGGAGCGTGCGGATGCTTGGGAAGTGTTTGCTGCCCAAATAGATGTTTGTTACAGCGTCTGGGGAAGGGGAGGTAGAAAGGCCGAATGGAAGCACTGACAAGTGAAATTCAGCCTCTTGCTGGGTGAAGGTACAAGAAGATGATGTCTGCCTTGCAAATGGAAATAAAGAAAGAATATAAGTATTTCATAGTTTCAATCTATTCAAAGGACTTGTTTTCTCTTTGGATGCATATATTTCCTTTCCTTACAATTAGTTTCTTCTGTGCTATGTAAACTTGCTGCAATTCAGTATGTTCCTGGAAAAAAAGAAATCTATGACAGTCCTGAAAATTAAGCAAACCTCAACTTTTGTCTCTTCATAATTAGAACATTATGAACACTAACAGTACTAGTATTGTAACTTGGTTTTAATGCAAATCAAGTTAGAACTAAAAAGTGGATGGTAGTAGGATTACTAGTAGGAGTAGTAGATTAATTTGCTCTTGATTTTGTAGGCATTTTCTGGTGCCTGAGGACTTTTCTTCCTGCTCTACACACATGAGAATGAATGCCTAATTTCTGATATACCTTTTATCCTGCATATTTCATTCAGTGTACAACAAAAGTCTGCGAAGACCAGCATGTATGAACAGACTTCCCTCAGAAAGTACAGTTGAAGGCTAGATTTTCCAGAATATGACACACAAAGTGTTGCTACCACTGAAATAATAAAGAGTAGGGTGAGCTTTGTCCATTTCACAAGCTTTTGTACAACCTAGACAGCAAAATGCAAAAATAAACATTGAAAGACTTTTCCCCCCCAAAATTTATTTGAAAACTGAAAATTTGAAAATCAAAGCCTTATGGTTATGCAGAACATGTATGCTGAAAATGGAGTAAGTAAACACTTATGCAGCTCTCACTAGATTATATTAAGTTCTGGCTGTTAGGTATTTTTCCCCTTTCCCGAATTTTCCCATTTATCAAGGACATTGTTTTTCATCTTTTCAGATGCTTTCTCTCTTTTTTATTGTAGTATTTTTCTGTGCTGTTACTTCTGAATTAAGAAGGCTTTAGAAATGACACTTTTCAACAATGTTGTTAGTACGATGAGGACAGCCAATACACAGACTTACAGTAGAGTAGAGCACTGTAAAGCAGAGCAAGAGAAAAAGTATCTGACTAGGTTCATCTTAACTGAGTAAATCAACTTGATATAAAACAATCTGACACATTATAAAGCCTTAATGGAAAATGCTGCCTCATTGAGAGGGCATGGAATGCCACCGGTCTATATTAAAGTAATTTTTAATTTCTGGAATTTTACTTTAGAAATTTTTGGTACTGAAAAAAACATTAAAAATGGAAATCATTTCATTCCTAACTGTACCAGGATAGCATTGGGGAGTGGTACCTACAGGACTGGAATGCTTAGGGCTAGTGTGGTCTACGTTTGGACCAGGCAGATCCAGTATTTTATAACAACTTCTTTTTCATGCCTTATGAATATAGATACTCAAATACAGAAGCCACACAATCCATGCAGAAATTACTGTTGAAATCCTACAGATTGAACAGTTCACACTATTGTTCTTGCAAAGGAGTTTGAAAATTAAATCCATCCGCCTACTAACTTTACGCTGTTGCTTACACTTTGTTTTAAATATAATGGAGTAGCTGACACTCAGACGAATTACTAACTCCCGTCCAGGTTTGAGCAGGAGATCTGTTGTGGTCACTCGGAATCTGCAACAGCATTTCCATCTTAAGAACAGCAATATCAAACTTCCTTTCCTTTAGTGTACTCGTAGAGATGCTTCCCTCCATGTTTGCTGTGCCGTGCTGCTTGCACATTGTGACAATGGAAGCTATGAAGAATTGGAGTTAAAGATCTCTACAATTCTGGGGCACAAGGTATAAGAATGCTTGCCTAAAGCACTGCCAAACATTGGTGTAATGTTTACAAAAGTGTCAATTTTACCATCTTCTGTAATTCTACTCAGATTTGCATTGAGATACACATTTTGTGAATTTATATTATGTTAGATGATACTCTGAACCACAACAGAGTCTGATTAAATTCATAGCTGCTATAAACCAGTCATGTTCCATTATATACACTTGATTTTTTTTTCCACTTGAAAATTTTTTTCCAACCAAAAAAAACCCAACAAGGTTTCAAAGATTAATCTCCCTGGAGCTTTTCTTAAAGTTTTTGAAACACAACCAGAGAAGCACTTCTATGATAGATCAGCTTCTCTAAAATATTAATTGGACTCTCATTTAACATGTAGTAAGATAAATGCACATTAAATCAATTTCATTGCCATATGTGTATTTTTCATATACATGTTCCTCATCCTTAAAGAAAGGATAATTCTGTTGCATATTTTTACAGTTTTATTACAAATAAGTATTAATAGCTGCAATTCTAAAACATTTTGGTATTTTGTGTAGTATTCTCAAGTTCTTCAGTGTAGATAGTAGAAATGATTTTTCAGCTATATTGTTCCTGACTTTCACTTTCATAGCTGTCCTACTTTGACAGTGAAACAGGCACAATTAATGTAAGTTTTTTGCAATGACACCTTATGCTCACAAAAAGAGTTATTGAAAAATATAATCTATTCATATTATGTAGGATGCTAAACAAAGCATTATATATGCCTTCAGTTTCAGATATATAGTTTGTTCTATAAACTCAGCAATAAAAATTCCTATCAGTTTCTAAAGAAAATAATAACTACCTAACACGGGATTAGATGTTCTGTGGCAATTTGGGATGAATTAGTGTTGTAATCTATTTTAATGGGGGGAAAAGTCTTACTTTTGACTGAAAATCAATTACTGTTTAGATCTGGAAAACATGATCTTATCGTACATTGACACTGTGAAAATATGACATAATTTAAGATGTGCAACTGGATGTGTAAAAGAAACTTTTTTGAAGACCCTGAGTGCTATATCAACATGTATATTTTGAACACATTTTAAGCATGAATTAACACTCGGGACATTAAGGAAAAACAGTAAGCTTTCACACAAAACACACAAACGAAAAAACCTCACAAATTTGTAAGATACAAAATAACCATAAAATGTAATTGAAATGCGGAAAAGATCAGTGACTATCAAAATTACAAGTTGAAAGTGTGAACAAAGCGTAATTAATTTTAAATGACTAACAAAATTGAAGACTTGTATAGAATATTACAGTCCACTTGTGTCTTGTTTTCTAAAAAGAAGGAAACTAAAACTGGTTTTGGAATGAAGTAGGGAGATTTACCACTCTATATGGTGCTGTAGATGGTACAGAAGCTTATTGTATAACAAAGGAGGCATCAGACATTTCAAAGAGATTTTTGAAGACAAAGTTCCACCTAATATTCTAAGTGGAATTTGCTGACAGCCACTTTCTGAATCACTAGTATTAACTTCTAATAAAGTCTCAGAAAATTGGAGAAATGGAAATGGAATTTGCCACAACAATTTTAGTAACCTGGGAGGGAGATCACCACTAAACGTGATGATCCAGAAAATAATAGACCTGTTAATCACAAGAAAAGCAGCTCATTCTGGCATATATGTTGAATGTGTAGCAATAACAGTACATGTTAAAATACAACCAATGTCACAAGTTCACCGGGTGCGTGAAATTAACGCACTGTCTTTTGCTAAGAGAATTATGTCTTTTTGATACAGCTATCCAACTAATT